TTTTTTATGTATATCTTCTTTGGAGAAACATTTGTTTATTGTTATGATACTGATTATGACCTGTAAGATTCATTACCCTGGAATGACTCATGAGAAACAATATCTAGCTTTCCATTATTATAACAAAATCATAGAGGATAATCCACCTAAAACAAGAAAAGGTTTTAGATTCACAGTTTCAGTGGTTTGGGTCCATGGTTGGCTGGCTTGGTCACTTTGGGGCCTGTGGTAGGTAGTACATGGTTTAGCAACTGTATTTCAGGACAACCCAGAAGCAGACAGAGACAGAGAGTCAGATTCCCAATATTTTCTTGAACTTTCCAGTAAGGCTCCACTTCCTAAAGGTTTTACTACTTCCCCATCATGCTGAAGGCTGACAGCATGCATTGGCATCTAGGGGACGCTCATCCAGAATCACTATCCATCACTGTAGGCTTTGATAGGAATTATACATAGAAAATCTCTACTGTTCGATTGGTATAACTTTTAGCAAAAAGACCCCACATACTTTAGTTTTCTATTCTGGAAGGACAAACAGTAAGTATGGTTCATAGTCTATCCTATATGATGAAAAGGAAATAGAACAGTGTACATAGAGTTAGTATTAGCAGAGGGTGGTAAAGGAGAACCCTCTCTGCTAAGAGAACATTGGCATAGGAGCTATGGAAGTGAGGGAGGGAACGTGTTAGAAGCAGGGGGAATAGCCAGGGAGGACCCTAAAGGAGTTGTTCAGTGATGAGCCAGCAGATATGTGATGTGTGAAAAGATAATGTAAAGGAAAAAGTAGCAATGTATGCAAGTTAGATTTTAGGGAAATAAAAGACATTCAAGAACGCCGGAGCTGATTGAGGGCTTTGAGCAGAGGGTATGTATTCTGCCATATAGGTGTGTTTAAACTGCACAAGTTGTTACTCTAGTAATGCATTGAAATTGGGGCAAAGAGGGACTCAGGAACACTATGAAGGCTATTACAGCAGAATCCACCCAACAGGTTGATGTAATGGTCATTTAGATTAGGAGGCGGTGGTAAGTAGATTCCATGTGTATTTTGAAAACATGAACCATTGACATTTACTAAAGTATTGAATTTTCAGATACTGTAACACCCAAAACAAAGTATTTTTGTTGTGGAAGATTTAGAAGACAAAAAGAAGTTAAATCTTATATACTGAGAAATGACCACTACTTAAAAAAATTTTCATGTATAACCTTTTTGGATTTTACCCTCTTTGTGTATAGATGTGGATACATATATAATGCATTGTATGAACAAATTCTCTATGTAGTAGTTAAAAGCTTATTCTGTTGTATAAATGAATTCTAGTTTATATGACTCTCTAGCAGTACTTAGGATGCTTCTGGGTTTTTGTGTTATAAGTAGAATTTAATGAAGCTTTATTATTTTTAGCATGCATAATCAAGAAAGCAGTTTCTAACTACTCTTTGAAACCCTGAAATACATGACTGTTGTTTCACAAGCTTATGAAGTAGAAAAGCCACTTTCTACCTCTTGTTTTCAGCAGTATACTGATTACTTGCACTGGAACAAAAAACAAAAAGGCTTCGATTTACTCCCATTTAAGATAGGGATAAATGAGTCTTGAATTTCTTTTGTTGTTTTGTTTTGGTTTTGTTTACTTGTTTTGAGGCAGGATCTCTTATTCCTGGCTGACCTGGAACTCTTTGTAGACCAGGCTGGCTTTGAACTCAAAAGCAATCTACCTGGCTCTGCCACCACCCTGCCTGGCAAGTCTGTGAATTTCATATTGTACGGACTAGTATAGTCTGTATTATACTTGGGAAAATAAGATCTCATTTGTTGACATTTGCACATTTTAATATTGTATGGCTAGTTATTTCTAGAATTCTTATGAGCTTGTTTTTAATGATCAGTGTACTTATACTTTAATTACCTTTGTTTTGGTTGTAGTAATGTTTCTCTTTTTTTCCTTTTTGTTGGTCTCATTTTATGTAGTTTGCTTCCATCTTCGCTTTTGCCACCTGTGGCGGGTTTAAGGGCAAAACAGAAATTCAAGTGAGTTGTCCTAAACTTGGTAACAATAAGACAGTTACAGCTACTTTTGGTTATCCATTCAGGTGAGCTATTTTTTAATTGTTTAACAGCTATTTTTTAACTTCATATTTAGTCATTAGGATCTCTAACAACTGGGCTGGGCTTGGGCAGAGGCCTGTAATCTCAACAGTCACAACGCTTGGGAAGCTAAGGCAGGAAGAGAATTCTAAGATGATCTGGGGTGGCAAGGCCCTGCCTCAAATGCATGGGCCTAGGAATGTTTTCCAACATTTATTCATTGAAGGTGGTAAAATATTTTAGATTTGCATGCTTATTTGTGATTTTTTAATCAGACTGTGGTATAGACCAATGTCTGTCTGCAAACTTTTCCTGGCCTCTGGTGAAGTAAATATACAAAGGGGAATATATTCGTTGCTTTCTAGTTGCTGAGACCAAATATCTGACAGAAACAGGAATTGTTTTGGTCTACAGTTTTGGAGGCTATATATACCATAGTAAGTTGCCCTCATGCACTTGGGCAGAAAATGATAGCATTGAGAATGTATGACAAAGGCTTCATCTCACGGTGAAACAAGCATGCCCCAGTGTCCTACTTCTTCTAGGAAAGCTCTTGCTGAAGGTTCTAGAACCTGCCAACTCTTTACATGAGCCAATGTGAGAAATTTCATATTAAAATCCTGATGGAGGGGCCAGCCATGATGGCCCATGCCTTTTATCCCAGCGCTCAGGAAGCAGAAGCAGATAGGTCTCAGTGAGTCTGAGGACTGCCTGGGTCTATATAACAAATTCCAGGACAGCCAGGGCTATGCAAGGGAAGGAAGGAAAGGAAGGGGCGAAGGAAGAAAGGGTAAGGGGCATAATAATAATAACAGCAACCCGCCCCCAAATGAGAGCAGAAAGTAAGCATTTAGAAACTTACAGTATTATGACATTGTCTTGATATTCTGTCATAACACAGTAGATCAGGGGAAAATGGGGACCAATGTTAGTGAGCCAGTCTGCTACCAACGAGCAAACATAGTTTATGAAGATACACGTTTCTCATGATTCTGCAGTTACTGAACTAACAGTGTTTTCATGTCATTTAAGACATATATAAAGACTATCTATGTGTCTCATATAAAACCACATTTATTTTAATAAATAAAAGCAAGGACCTCCTGTGTGACTTCAGTATTTACAGAGAAGTCTATTGTAGAAGACTGTGACTAAGATATGAATCTTCTGTTTAGCTTGCTTTATTTGACCTCTCAAAGACTTACTTTCCTGTCCAGTAAATTGGAAATAAATCTTTTAAGAGTATTTTGATAAATAAGGTTTTAAGGTTTCACTGTGTAGTCATGTTTGGTCAGGAACTTGCTTTGTAGACAAACTGTCCCAGGAACTCATCTAGTACCTTTGCTTCTTGAGTTCTAGGACTAAAAACTTCTATTCCTACATTTTCTGCAAATAAAATATTACATTAGATCTGTGTGTCCCAAGAGCTTACTAATCATCAAAGATTGTCCAGCACTTCTCCATTCATTTTTGTTACAGTAACTGTCATCTTTAATGACCATTGATTTTTTGTTATAAATGGGGAAAATGTAAGACATTGTAAATTTTCATTTAGCAGCTAATTAATCAAGGGTTAAATATGAATCGTGGGGCTAGAGAGATGGCTCACTAGATAAAGAGTACTGGCTGCTCTTTCAGGGAGCTTAGGTTCAATTCCCAGCACCCACATATGGCTTCATGATTGTCTGTACTCTAGTTCCAGAGGATCTGATGCCCTCCTCTGGCCCCTGTAGCCAGGAGGCACACAGGTGGTGCACAGACACACATCCAGCAAAACCACACACGTAAAATAAAAATTAAGACTGGATCTCCAGGTTGGTGAAAAGTATCTTTAAAAAGAAGAGGAAGAAGAAAGAAGGAGGAGGAAGAAGAAAAAAATATCATCCCATTATTGGTTCTCCTAGAACTAGTGACACAGACCTCTGCCTCCTAGAATAGAAACGTGGGTTTTTATGATAATATATAATAAAATATAAAATTTTATTACAGGACAGTAGTACCTACATGTTAAAACTGTTTAATTCTGTTTATGTTCAATCTGCCATAAACCAAATCAATTTATCGGAATATGTAGTATGAACTTTTTGATTTAGTGTAAAATTTTATATTTAGTTAAATAGTTGAGTCTTTCCTTTTTTAGAAAGAAATGTTTTAATGGATTTAGAGAATACATTTTGAAATGTCAATATTCTGCTTAAGTATTTCTGTTAGGAGAGTCCAGTGGTTCATGTATTTATCAGAGTCTTTTCTTAACAGGTTGAATCAGGCATCATTTCACACTCCTTCAGATGTCAGTGTGTGTAATGTGACCTGGAAGAACCATGTCCTCATAGGTGATTACTCCTCTTCTGCACAGTTCTATGTCACATTTGCAGTCTTTGTGTTCTTGTACTGCATCGCTGCCCTTCTGCTCTATGTTGGTTACACGAACCTCTACCGGGAGAGTCGTAAACTCCCCATGATTGTAAGTAACTATCCTGTGTCTATACAAAAATAATGTATACAAGTATAAGTAAGTTCCATTTCAAGGTAAATACAGGTTTTCTTACAAGAAATCCAAATTATTGACAAGTGTTGACATGAAGGAGGGCTTTATTCAGTTATTAAGTTTAATCCAATTTTCATAGCCTATTTACACTTCATAAAGTTTTTAACCTGGAAAACCATCAGATCATATTTGATAAATTAAGTTTTAAGTAGCAAAAGGTTAAGAAATTAATACATTTAATTTCAAGAATTGCAGCTCGCCATACCTTTTCTCTTTCTTCAAAACTCCCTTTATGATACTATCATTTCCTTGGGAGCTTAATTGTCTTTATCATTAAAGTGTGGCCCAGAGATCAAATCTGACTTTTTGGTTCTTTAGAATGTGGCTCTTCCTGACCCTTTATGGAATGCATTGTGTTTGGCTGTTTTTACGTTAAACTCTGAACCAGATAATTTTTATATTCATTATTATCAGTGGTATCAGTAAGTTACATTTAAACTTTTGGATGCCAGCAAAGGGTTTGAATTGAAGACCTGATACCCTTCTGAGGGCTTCGGAGTCTACTGAGCTAGAAATAAAATACTCTTTGAGATTAAGGGAGCAGACTGTCTTGAGTTATCAATGGCAAGTCCGGGAAGAAGCCACGGCTTATGTCAGACCTTACACAGGAGTGGCTGTAGGGTCAGTGGTAGTATGGAGGTTTTTAGTCATTTGTATCTGGAAAAAGCACAGAAGTCATCAAAGAAGTCGTGAATTTACCGTAAATAAAATGAAGGAACTGCTGAGATAAGTTGTATTTACCAACTTATTTTTCATTTTTGCTGCTTGGATCATAATATGTAAATGGTAAGTAAAGGACAAAATAGTTCTTTATCTTGGAGATTTCCTATTTCTTATGCCTGGAAAGTATAAGAAAGCTAGATGTTTTCATAAAATATTTCTTGGGTACTAATTACCTTTTTAAAGTGTTTATTCATTACATATTAGGAATCTATAGCTTTGAACATTTCAAAGAATAAGTTTGTTGTTCATTTAGTATAGGATTCTTCATTCTGTACTAAAGTAGTTTAAATCAGGACTATCAAATCAGGTATATCAAAAGTGAAATACCACAAAAAGGAATTTCCAAATTCTAAAATCTTTTACAAATCATGTTTTCACCTATTGGTTGGAACCCAGAAGCTTCAGGTAGCTGCATTGCATGGCTCTAGATAAGAGCCATTTCAGTGAGTTCCAGGGACCCACTTGTCTCCATACCCCCTGTAGTGCTGGGGTTAAAATTGTATTTCCATGTGAACTCAGATCCTTAATGTTTGCAGAGCAATGACTTTGGTAACCGAGGCATCTCCTCAGCCCTCTGGTTGTGCTCTTTAAATCTAATTTGTTGATAATTAGATGAATGCATAACATCTACATATTTCAAAAGTAGAAACTTTTCTGAACACAGTGGAGAAAATAAACCACTGATGGAAGAAAAGTGAGGGATTCCTGTGAGGAAATACTTGTTCTCCTAGGTTCTAGTCAACTCCAGAGCAGTCTTAACTGAAATGGAACAAAGTTGAGGAGACTGGGAAAATATCCATCTTGTTTACAAAGATTATACAGACTCTGGAGAAACCGTCACTGATTTCTTTTTTTTTGAACAAAAATAAGTCTTAGCAGAGAACAAAGCTGTATCAAAGCCCCAACACAAGACAAGTGTTGGTAACGATCTTGATATGTGAAAATGCAAATACCAAGTTTAAAATGTTATTAGACCATTAAAGGTGCAAGCAGTGCCAATGCATGCGTGCATAGGGCTGTGACTGTTACTGGTTCTAGCATGTACAATACTAATATAATAGGTCATGCTGTAGCTAGAGGCCTCCCATATCAAAATGCCCCGTGCTTCAGTTACAGGAAATATGTTCATTTGCAAAGAGACTGTGACCAAACCAGTAAATGGTTTTAGATCTCAAAATGCCCAATGCTTTAATTGTGGGAAATATGGTCATTTGCAACAAAACTGTGAACAAGGCATCTCTAAGGGCAGTGGTTTTTGTAAATATAAACTAGAAAAGAAGGCATAGGCTGCCAGCGGTGTGCAGGTGATGTGGCAAGGGTTGCCATTGGACCAGTTAGTGTGGGTCCACAGAAATAATTTATTCAAGGTAATTTCTTACTCTTGGGAAACAGCATTGTAGGCCTAGCTTGAGGCCCTGAAGCAAAAAGTATAAGCCATTTCAGCCAAGGAGTAACATGCAGGCCAAAAAACCTCAATGCTCAGTAAGTGAGAATCACTTGTAATAATTTGTAAAAGGTGCAGAATTAAATCTGCCTGTGTATTATAAGGATGTGTTAACATCATACTGGAAGTCAGTGAGTATATAGATTGCTTATATTTCCACAGGAAATAAAGAGGATACCATCAAAACAGATAAAGATTAGACTTGAAAAGGAGAGGTCTCCTGAAAACCACTGACCCAAAAAGCGCTGATTTCATTGAAAATGTCTCTGTTTCCAGTTTTCTGCAACACACAGCAGAGTTAATGGCTTAAAACAGAAGCGGGAGAAGTGCAGTGACAATTTTGGAGTTTTGGTTTCTTTAAAAACACAGAAATATTATATGAATTTCCTTTCATTTTAATCCCAGGAGTAGAGTTGTGGGGCTGCTTTGGGCTGTTTCTAACACCTGACAATGATTTGCCTTATGTTGTAGCAGAGGCATGGTTTGCCAACTACAGATAGTTTCTACAACTGTGTTTGTAATCTTGGGAACTTTTCAGAAGGTATATAAATGCTATGTTCCGTGTTTGTTGCTTGTTTAAGAAGGTTGGTGGCTATAGCTGTGGTCAAAGAAGAAACGAAAGGAAAGAAATAATGTTCAAGGATTAGATTCAGGGATTTTTTTTTTTTCTCCCCTCTATTCTTGTTTCTGTCCTATCTAGTATTGTGGGGTAAAACTGTAGTGGGGGGAGGGGTTAAAAAAAAAAAAAAAAAGAAGAGCCCACAAAGTTGCAAAGACCAGCTACAAACTTGCATCTGTAGGGACAACCAATTCAACAGCAGTGGTCTGTAATGTTTTGGAGAGTCTCTTGGACAACCCTAACCAAAACCTTTATGCTTGGTATTGGGGTTTCTGTTAGCAAGTCTGTGGCTCTGGGCTCTTAGGGGAAACATTGTTGGCCTAGATGGGAAATTTTTATTTTAACTATATATGTATACACAGACTTATGCAATTTTAGCCAGTTAGATAATGATTCCCTATGACTTCAGACATCCTGTTATTTTACCCTCCTTCATTTAACTTCCTCTCCCTAATTAAAGCCCCCATAATTTAAAAAAATATATATATATGTGTATAGGTGTTGAGACTGCATGTACGTCTGTACCATATACATGCTGAGCCCACAAAGACCAGAAAAGGGTGTCAGATCCCTAGAAACTGGAATTCACAGATAGTGGTAAGACACATATGGGTGATGGACATTGAACTTGGCTCCTGGAAGAACAAGCCATAGTCTTGAACATTCTTATAATTCAAGTTATGAAACTTGAAAGGATTAGTTGTGATCTCTCTTTTTTTAACCACTTTATTAAGTTATCTCTTGGAGAACTGTTTTTGACAAGACTGAGAATTTTATCTGAAAATAGGGAAGTTTATATTGCATATGCAAGGGATTATAACTTAGAGTATAAGTAGTTAAAAGAAGTAATAACTTGAATGAAGTTGGGTAACAGTTAAAGAAGAAAAATGGTAGGATTGGTTTATAGGTCTTAGCTGAGTCAAAGATTAGGATGAATAAAAAAGATTATGGAATGAAAAAATACTGATCTGGTGGTACCCACCTATAATTCCCAGGAAGCAGAAGCAGGCAGATCTCTGTGAGTTTGAGCTTAGCCTGATCTACATATCCAGTTTCAGGCCAGCTAATGCTACGTTATAAGACTTTTTTGTCTTAAAAACAAAACAAAACAAAAAGATGATGGGAAAAAAGCACCTAGTTTTTGGTGATAGAATAAAATTTGACTCTCAGAGTATATGGCTAAGATTATGGTGACAATTTACAAAACTTTGCCTTTTTATATAAAAAGTAGACTTTGGGCTAGAGAGACGCTTCGGTGAATAAAAAGCACTTGTGAAAGCAAGAGGATCTGAGTTCATGTTCAAGTTTTACAGTGCCCATGTAAAACTTGTACATGGTCATGTGTGCCTCTAATTTGAATGTTGGGTACAGAGAGAGATAGGTGGATCCTGCAGACTTGGTGACAGGACAGCCTTTTCAAAATGGTAAAGTTAGGTTCGGCTACAGACCCTGTCTCAAAACATAAGGTTGAGAACAATAGAGAAAGACATTGACTTACTCCTCTCTTCTCCATATGTGTATATGTAGGCCTGCACGCTCATATACAAAAATTAAAATTAAAAAAAAAAAGAATACTCAGCCATTTTTGCATAGAGGCAAGAAGATTTGAGGCTAACAAAACCTTGTCTTAAAAATAATAAAGTTTTAAGTTGTGGACTTAAGGGGATGATTAAGTTTTTTGTGTCTCTGGCATGGTGCTAGAAACAGTAAACATCAATGGTGATTAGACTGCATGTGACCCTTTACACAAAGTCTATCATGAGGACCATTTCTTGGTACCACGGGATTAAGCATAATCCTAATTTCTTTATTGCTGATATGAAATGTACTATTCTTAAATTGACTGCTCACTAACTGCTCGTTTTTGCTCTAGGACTTTATTGTTACTCTTGTTGCCACTTTTCTGTGGTTGGTGAGTGCCTCGGCCTGGGCTAAAGCCCTTACAGATATTAAAATAGCTACCGGACACAGTATTATCAAAGAACTTGAGCCTTGTCGCAACCCACAAATACAATGTCAGTTTATCTCTGTGACTAGTATGGGATCCCTAAATGTATCCGTGGTAAGTATCTGATACTTGCACAGTTTGCTTCATTTACTAGAACAAAGTTTAAGAAAACAGCAGCTTTCAATACTGTCTGAGTGAATAAATTGATTCTTATTTTACTGAATCAATAAATTGATTCTTATTTTACTGGTTCTAATTAAGATATATATTATAAATATACTGTATATGTATTATGGGAAAGTATGACCTGTAACCAAGATTTAAAGACTGAAAGACACTAATGATGTCCTATCCATTGTGCTATAGTATCTTAAGTTACTCAGCCATTCTGAGAGGAAAATGAAAGGCAGCATTGTTGTCTTCATTGTACAGCTGAGAAAATGTATGTAGCTCGTGCATTATATTCCTCTGAAGAGACACAACTTTTGAACCACATCTGACTTTGAGTCTATTCCCTTAAGTCTGAGTTACTTAGAAAACAAAGTTTTCTTTATTCTGTAAAATTTAATATATGTAATTCATTAAACATTTTTCTACTGTGTCATCAAACTGAAGTTTATTGTTAATAATGTTGCATATATTCTATTTTGGAAGGCTTTCTTCAGAAAATAATTTGACATTAGGTGAATTCAGTACTGCTTTATAAAGCAGTTTACCCACATTCTTGTTTTTCCGTTAATTTACTTATTTTACATCTCAATCTAAGCTTCCCCTCTGTCCTCTCCTCACAGTCCCTCCCTCTCACCCATATTCTTGTTATTATTTTGTAATGTGAAACTCAGTACTTAGAGCTTACATTGACAGAGTGTTGAGTGGAACAATTTCAGAAAAATTTTGTGTGCACTTACACAAAAATATAAAGTTTTGCTTTTAGTTACATAGTACCTCAGGCTTCTAGTCCAACTCTTACTTCGTAAGTCACATCACACATTGATGGGAGGACTTAAATAAAGTAGGTAAGTTCAGTCTGTTCACCTCTGAAAAGACTACAGCCTCGAGACTTCATCTAGTTCTGTGGTGGGGGGGGATTACTGTGTGTTGATCAGTGCAGATTTAGCACTTTAGCATGTCCGAGTATAAGTTATACATCCAGAATTTATACGGTGGACTATGTGTGTAGTCTTTTTTTTTTTTTTTAATTCTACTTTGTATGTACTCCAAAGCAAACATTAGATTTTTATACTTGTTCTCTTCTTTCGTAGATCTTTGGCTTTCTGAATATGATACTTTGGGGAGGAAATGCCTGGTTTGTGTACAAGGAGACCAGCTTACATAATCCATCAAATATGTCAGCTTCCCACAGCCAAGGAGGTGTTCCACCCCCTTCTGGAATATAATTAAAGGGAGAATACACTGAATGAAATGTGTGCTATACTCTGCCTTGTTGCCAACATCTTGAGAAGCATTATTGTTTCTAATAAAAAGTAATGGCTTTTTCAGTAAATTGGTGGGTTTTAAAATTTGCTGCTTTTCTACATAAAACGTGCCTTTTCTAGAAATTTAAGATGTAAATGTATTTTTACATGTAAGTTTGAAAATTCAGGAGCCTGTTAAGAGATGATACTTATTTTTAAGTGAATAGTAATTTCACTAAGTTGCCTTCTAAAGTGTTTACACCTTAAACTTTAACAGAAACCTTCATTTAGAAACCAGTTCTGTCATATCATAATATAGGAAGAATTTGTTTGAGACATACACTACTGTTAGTTTGTATACATCATATCTAAGGCTTGGCTTGTTTAAGGAAATCTTGAATGCATAAATCATATTTAGAAAAAAATTAGTGCAATTTTATATCTGAATATTGTTCATGATAAGATTTTTTGAATTGCAAAAACTGGGTATGTATTTTGTTTCTTTTTTCTGAATGACCTGCTATACTTATTAGGTGTACTAAAATTGTCTTAGGAGCAAGGATTTGAAAATTGTAACAAATGTGGAGAGTTAACTTTGCACTTCTGTTGCATGAGGTATATTCATTATTTCTGGTGGTTTCTTAGGCTTGAAAAGAACATGGTTCCCACGATGGTTTCATATGTGTGGGCATTCTCGATGATAGTTGTTTGCTCTCTTTGTTCATGCCAAGAGAGAAATATCTACCTTTTTTTTCAGACCCTATTTAGAGGGTTACTAAAAATTAAGGTTGCTTTTTATTTTTGAAACATTTGACATTTGGTCAATGAAGTTGCTTCTCCTGAGTTTAACATTGATATTGTAAAAATAAATGCAGTTCGGATTTCTTATTTCTTAATCTTCATTCATGCGTCACAAAAGGATGATTAAGGAATTACGCTCATAAATGAATCTAAGTAAGCTGTGTTGTGTGTGTACTATCTTTACACACATTTGGGTGTGTTCAGAATGCAATGCTATTTGTTCCTCAGAATTTTTGTTGTACAGGGATCCAGACTTCCTATTCTTACATGATGATGTTTGTATGTGACACACATCTTGCAATATTGCCTATTTTTGTTGCTTTATTCATGGCAAAGTGTCTGTGTGAGAATGTATGTTTAATACAGCAAACAATAAAGAAGCTAAAGAATAAACAAGTTGTTACATTACAATGAACTCTTCATCTTCCTAATGGTCTTCCTAAAGATAGGACTATTGCAAAATGGAACCACTTTTCAAAGCAAAAGATAGAATTATAATAGTATTTTTATGTGTCAATAGAACAGAGTAAAATGCCTTGGACATTTTATTCTCATTTGAAAAATATTTATAACTCTCAGATTGTTTTCCTGGTAGACATTTTCTAATTGGTCACTCAAGTAGCAAAAGTTACTGATTGAGAAGATAGAGCTTCCGGGCCTGGTTCTGTAGCTCAGTTGGTAGACTGGCGAGGCCCTGGTTTCACACCCTGCACGCATAAGCCAGCTGTTGTATCTCAAGCCTCTCATCTCAGTGCTCCAAGTTTAGGTCATCCTTGCCCACTTGGGTAGTTCAAGGCCAGCCTGGAATATATGAGTCAGGTGCATTTTTTCCTTCTCTCTCCCTCTCCTCCTTCCCTATTCCCCCTTTCTCTCTTTCCTTCCTCCCTTCTTTCCTCCCTTCCTCCTCTTCCTCCTTCCTCCTCATCTTCCCACCCTGAATGGATTTGAATCTGGCCTTGACCAATTTACTAGCTGGCTAACAAGTGAAGCTTCTGTTTCTATATGAAAACATGGAAATGAGTACTGACGTTGGGCAGGAGAAATGGCCCAGGGTAGCAGTATTGGCTGCTCTTCCAGAGGACCCATAGGACAGCTAATAGCCACCTATAACTCCAAGGGAATCCAATGCCCTCTTCTGGCTTCCTCAGATACTACCCACATGCAAAGACAATACCCATGCAGGCAAAACACTCATCAAAAATCTTTTTTTTTTCTCTCCTTAAACTAACTTGAAAACATATACAAAAAAAGCAAATGTGTGTAAAGGCTGTGAAATGTCTATAGTACATCATAGGTTCTCTATACATGTGAGCTATGTCTAAGACTGTTAGCCTGAAGTCCAAGGGCTGGAGGATACACAGGGTGAGAAGCAGAAAGAGCCTCAAATGTGTAAACATCTCCCATCGTAGTGTTTACAGTTTTTCCCTGAACCAATCACGGGTGTTTGGGTGTGTTTGTTTTTCTGTTGGTGGTAGATATTGGTAAGGTTAATGAAATTAAAAGATAGTAGTCTATTGAAATTAGAGTAAACTTAGAAAGGGCTTCTGTTACCTCACCACCCCACTGCCTTTTAGTGAACATTACAGAGACAATTTCTAGAACAAAAGCAATAAAAGCTTTAGCTTCCCAGAAGATAGGCTGCAAAGAGCTATTTAGAAACAGACTCATTATTAATTTTTGTAAAAGATTAAGTTCAATCTATAAAAGGTAATGGTGGCATTACATGGTATTTTATGTTTGGGGCATAATTATAAGTATTTATGAAACATTTCCAGAAATAGGTGAATGTATAAAATCATTAGAGAAGAGTTGCTTTATATACACCAGATTTGTAAAAGACAATGTTACAAGAAGAGCTTTTTTCCCTGATGAGATACAGTTAGTACATGGAACTAAAAAATGAATATTCTTACCAATCCTTGATGCTTGGTTACTCATAGCCAGTCTGAGTTGAAGTACTGTCTTTGTTTTTAAATCTGCTGGCTGCTGCTGAGGCTGGCCACCCTCCCCTGTAGTCACCAGCTGCCTTGTTTCTCCTTCTGTATTCCCTTTTCATACCCTCAGCAGAGTTTTCTTTTGGGAGAATGTTTTCCTGTGGATGTAAGCAGTTCCCTGCATCATGTTGTCCCTTTGGAATTTACATCTTTGCAGTTTTCTCCCCATCTACAGCTTGTATTTTCACTGGATTTTGTCATACAAGTTTGTTCATTTCAATGGTATGTAACTGCCTTCTTCTGTTTTTTAGTTTTCCATGGTAGTTTTGGCTATGGTAAAGTTGTGTATACATTTTAGGATCATCTTGTCAAGTTCCTAAAGACCTTTGTGAGGTTTCATTTGTGAAGAATTGCATTGAATTCATAGATCAATTAATTTATGAAGAATTGTCACATTTATAATGACAGTTTTGTATGTATAAATTTGGTATGTTTCTGCATTTACATATTTCGTGCTTTCCAATAAAGTTTTATAATTTTCCACATAAAGATTTAAGATTATAATTAGCCTCAAGAGTTTTCATGCTGTTTACACAGTTACATTAGATTATATTTTTAATTCAGTTGTAACTGTTTATTGCTGTTATGTATAAACATCACCTGTGGATTTTTTACCTACTGATATTAATAGAAGTTGGCAGGTTTTCAAACCTTGAATTCTTAATATATAAATTGTTCTGCTATTTAACTGTATCATCTACAAATATTGATGGTCTTACTATGTTTGGAAATTAGACTATACTTTCTAATTATCTTTCTCTGATTATATGTAACTGTCAAGAAAATCTGTTTTAGAAGTAGAAAAGATATGTTTATCTGCCACACTGATAGCTGCTGCAGTACAGCACTTGTAACCACAGATTTGCACTGTTGTATATTAATGGTTGTGGTAACATAACCACTGGTCAGTATCAAGTGTTTGTAGAGTCAACTCCTCAGTGGGAAATACTAGTTGAATTAAACTGATCACAGTTAAAAAAAAAAAATGGTCATGTGTAAAAATAACTTCTGTTTGCCTGAGGTAATTGTCCTCTTGGAGGACTGTAATATTTTCAGCTCTGAGAATTACTGCTGAATAAGCTCAACCTTTCTAGCTCTTTCTGAGCTCTGGCTGGCTGGTTCAACTCGGCTGTTCTGGCTCAAACTCCAAACTGACTGATTCAATCTGGCTTCTCTCAGTTTTTCACTGAGTTGCTCTGCTTGGCCTCAAAGTGACTCTAGCAATCTGTTCTAATCTGGCTCCTCCTCATTTTCTGGCTCATTCTGCCCTTACCTGTGTCTGGCTTGTTTTCTCTGCAACGTGTCTCTGTAAAAGTCCTGGTAAAAAAGTGCCTCTGAATTCTGCAAACTGAACTGCCACAAACTCAACTGTACTGCACTGTCTCTCAGTTCACTGACTCAACTGAACTGCCTGAACAGAACTCAGAGACCTTCATGCCTCTGACTCCTAAGTGCTGGGATTAAAGGCATGTCTGTATTCCAGCTGAATCACACAGACCTGGAAGGTCTTTGGATGTGATCTCTTGCCAGAGCAGCCATATTGCTATTGCTGTATATATTCCCCCTTTGTGAGTCTCTTTCATTGCAAGTTGAGTTTGCTTGAATAAGAATGGCTTTAGACCATGGTGGCAGTGCCAACACTTGGGATCCAAAGGCAGGTGGATCTCTGTGAGTTTCTAGTTCTGGTCTACAGATTAAGTTCCAGGACAGCCAGAGCTACACAGAGAAACCCTGTCTCAAAAAACTAAATTAAAAAAAGAGGGACAGGGATGTCATTTAGAACCAAAGAAATGTAGTTGGGTATTTAAAAAAAAATTTAATTTTATGTGCCCTACTGTGAAGATGTCATATCTCTTGGAACTGGAGCTACAGACAGTTGTGAACTGCCATGTGGGGGCTGGAAATTGAACCTGGGTCCTTTGAAGAACAGACAGTGCTCTTAACCACTGAGTCATTTGTCCAGCCCCAGTCGCTGGATTCTTTAAGCTTGTTTTATTCAGGGAGAGTTGAGTTACACATGTCTGGAGTATACAATTTAATATTGACATACATCTGTTGAAGCTCACCACAATCTAGAAAATGAGATCCAACCCCTCTGACCTACCCACTCTAGCAACTATTGTCACTGAGTATTTTCTGAGTGTTCTGTGTGTGAATCACCACAATTTGTTTATATATTCCTCCTCTGGTGAATAAACTGCTTGGAGCTTTGGGCTAGTAACAGTTTATAAACATTCACAAGTCCTTAAGCTGGACACAGTGATACACACCTACAATCTCAGTGCTTGGAAGCCTGAGGCAGGAGGATTGTGAGTTTGAAGAAAGGCTGAACTACATAATGAAACCCTATTTCAAAGGGGAGTAAAACCAAAAATGACTAAAAAGTGTTTTGAAGAGACAGAGGTAAGTAAATATTGCTGAATCCAAGGCCAGCCTACTCTACATAGTGAGTTCAAGATCAGCCATGGTTATGGTGTGCTGGGCATTTTTATGTCAGCTTGACACAAGCTAGTGTCATCAGCCTCAACCTGAGAAAATGTGTGGATAAAATGGGGCTAAATTAGTGATTGATGGGGGAGGGCCCAGCCCATTATAGGTAGTGCCACCCCATGGCTGGTTTTTCTGGGTTCTGTAAGAAAGCAGGGTGAGCAAGCCAGTAAGCAGCACCCCTCCGTGGCATCTGCATCAGCGCCTGCCTCCAGGTTCCTATCCTGCATGAGTTCCTGTCCTGACTTCCTTCCATGATGATGAGTGAACAAACCCTAACTAGGTCACAGTGAGATCCTGTCTCAAACAAAAAAAAAAATTGTGGAATACTGTAACAGAAAATACCTGGGCATGGTGCATGCCTGTCATTCCATGTCAGCATGTTAGGTAACCAGAAGTCTTAGGCTGCCTGGCCATGTAAGCATCCGGGCATTCTGAACATTTTACACTGCTTTCTGAAGTAATTTCATTGCCTCAGCTTAAGTCATGTTGCAGTGCTTACTGGTCTGCCAGAACTGGAAAGGACGTTCTGTAACCTTAAGATCCCAAAAAGCAGTGATCAAAGAGCAGGCCAATCAGATTATGTCAGAGGCAGTCCCTCTTCCCATTACTAGGTAACCCACTTGGACACTGACCTGCCATGGGCTACATCTGTGCAGGGATTCTAGGTTATCTCCATGAGTAGTCCTTGGTTGGAGTTTGATCACCTCCCCCTGAGCGGGGAGCAGCCCTACCAGGCCACAGAAGAGGACAATGCAGCCACTTTTGACGAGAACTGATAGACTAAGATCAGAAAGGAGAGGAGAACCTCCCCTATCAGTGGACTTGGGGAGGGGCATGCATGCAGAAATGGGAGGGAGGGTGGGATCGGGAGGGGCTTACGGGGGGATACAAAATGAATAAAGTGTAATTAATGAAAAATAAATAAATAGCT